TGGTACCATTAAAATGCCCCAAAGTCAGTATTGTGTGTGGACTCCATGGGCATCTATGAAAGAGATGCATCGTCTGTACATGGAATGAATTAGCCGGTTGATGAAGGACATAGGCACTTGGGTCCTTACTCTGTGAAATGCCTGATCGATTCCAGCCGCAGTTGTCGGCCTTGGTTGTAGGTCATTCAGTCTTCTTTGCATCTCGTTCCAAAGGTGTTCTATTGGACTCAAATCCGGACTGAGTGCAGGTTATTGTAGGGTTTGGATGCCATGTAGTCTTAGGAAGTCCAATGTTGCTCTGGCAGTGTGGGCACGGGCGTTGTCTTGGTGGAAGATGTGATTTTTGTAACGTCCAAAATGTGGTACAACGTGGGGTCCTATGACTTGGTCAATATAGCGAGCAGCTGTCACTTCATTTCCTCATCCTGGACCGACATTCTGGAACACCATGGTGCCAACTATCTGGTTCAGACCGTTTGCATCCCACACGATGATGCTTGGACCACCCAACGAGTCTCTTTCAACAATACACTCATTGGAAAACAGTTCCCCATGCCTTCACCATACTCTCACTCTGCCATCGACTGTCGAAACGCATCATCGGCTTACATGAGAAAAAAGCACAGTTCTCCATTGTCGATAACGCCAATTTCGATGCTGAGTTGCCCATTGCAGTCGGTTTTGACAGTGATGAGCGGTGAGGACAGGACTACGATATGGTCTGTGATAGCAGAGGTTTCTTCCGCGCAAACGTCGACGGACTGTATCGGCACTGATGAGTCCCAATGGTCTCTCGTGCTGTTTCCGTCGCTCTGGGGAAGCGATCCTTGAGCGAGGGTTGCACACAATCTGTCGGTCTTGACGTTATGATGTTACTGAAGGTCGCACACTGCGTGGACGGTCTTGGATGCTGTTCGTGACCTGATACCGCTCCTGCAGTCGGTAGATTGTCCTAGCATGAACAGTAAAATAATTGGCTACCCTCCGTGCAATCTGGCCAATTTGCGATCTATAGCCTGTTTTTATATTGTATTGTCCAAATAGTGCTATTAACTTTAACTTTCCACGCTAGTTTTAATTCTAATTGTGATATTCTATATTGTTTTACTGTCCTTCGTCGACAGGTTTATAATGTACATATATTCCATTCCAATGTCAAGTATGTTCTCGTCACGATATGGCTGAAATATTGCCGATGTGACGTTAAATTGTAACTCACTCACTCAGTCTGGCCAACTTGCAACCGCCCCAAGACTTGGTTCCTCTGATCTCTCGTAAGTTGTGCCATGGCGATTGTGTCAAAACAAGAATGATTTCAGGCGAGTTTGTGACTCGCTTTCATTGGTACGGGTGTCACGATATACACGTGCATTTTCATTTTCACGAATGCCATACGGAACCTTTCGCCACGTCTGCCTTTTAAGGTGCGTTTGGTCGATATGCTTTTTCATCAGAAAACACACTGATGTTGGTAATAATTGTCAATTTTTATTGAAAAACATTTTAACAAAAGGACACAATCATTATAAAAGCGCCACTTTGTAAGAACAAAATCTTGCATTTGGTTTTGAAAGGCGACGTTTCTTTTGTGGTTCAGTATAAAAGACTTCGGTGTGATACCAACAAATAACTAAGTAATTTGATATGGTAAACAACTGTATTCTAAAATTAACCAAGTTTACAAATCAAAACAAATCATTTCAGAGGAATTAAAATGGCGTGACAAATTCAATGGCGATGCAGTTGCAATGGAAACATAATATACTGGACAAAATAAGTCAGGGATATTGGTATTTTTATGATTGAAATTTATCAGTGTGTCAATGAATAAATAGATCATTATTCATCATTTCAAAATTTACGCCATTTCTAGTGTCCCCCGCCGTGATATTGCTGGAATATTGCTAAAAGCGGCGTAAAATTAAACTCAGTCAGTAAGTCAAAATTTACATATATCCCTAACTATTTTTGTCCAGTATATATAAGCAGTGATTATAATAGTAATTACAGTGATGACAATATTCACTTCGTCCCGCCACTGTGATCAAACCTCCAAAACAGGCCTAGGATAAGAATCCAGGGCGGAAAGTGATCTTCACTCAGCTGCTGGTCTTCTTGTGAGGCTACCAAGACAACAGTGAATCTTTTGTATGTATAAAAAGCTGTATGTTGGACGAGGGAAGTTATGACGATATTTAAGGGGCAGGTATACACAAAATAAACCTTTGTGTCTTGCACCTCGTCAACAAGTATATATCTAGTAGTTTCATAGCCAAAACAGTAGAGATACCACAAGTAACTAAATTATCTTTTGCATTATGTCGATACATATTTTGCGCTTTAACCGAGAATTCTATTTCAAAAACTTGAAATACGAATGACGAATGACGAAATTAGACCGTATCAGACCCATTTCACGTGGTGCAGGTACATGTGCGTGGTTCTTGTGTCTGAAGGCTCGGTTCGCAGCCTACTTTTTAACACTCACGGTGCCTGGCCATCACCTGGCTTAAATCTTATGTGCTGCTCAGTGCTGCACTGAGATTTCAAAAGCGTATACATTGTACAGAATAGGTTCCAACTGTCATATTTCTACATACAGTATAACCAAATTATAAAACATTCAACTTGAGTCAATTGTCTTTCTGGCAGTGTCTTCTTTATAAAAACATAAAGGCGCTTCATGATTAGATACCAGTCAACACGACTATATTAGCTAATGGAACCAAACCGTACACCGGAAATATTAATTTAGTTAGTGAGAAACGGAAAGACATCAGCTCTGGGTAAAGTAAGTATGAAGCAAAACTACTCAAGTCAAACGTGCAAAACAGCCTTATTAATGGTTTGTCCATCTCAAACTACCTAAATCAAGATGATGACATAAATTATATTACTTTCAACATATATCCCAGTTAATTATGAATGCATAATAATGATATTTGGAAAACAGTTAACTGAAAAAAGTAGTTTGTTTACTTTGCAATACAAAAATACCTAAATTTAATACCTTATGAAATTGTCCCAGGGCCAGTGAATTTATCTTTGTTGTAAATTAGAATTTATATGTGTTTCAAAAGTAAACTCTTTTTTCACGACAAGCATATAACCATGAACTTATTACTTCAAGCTAATAATTTTGTTCATCATCTAATGGAGGGTGTTATCGGTGCAATAAAGCAATCTGATAAAATTGGTATCCAAGTCTGATAACTATGCAAAGTACGTCAGTCCACGAACTACTTTCACAAAACTCCATACACGCCATGCGAATCCTACAACGTTAACATTTCATTGATGACGTCGTTGCGAGTTTACATTGTTTGTAAACAAACATGGCAGCCCCCATTCTCAAAATTGGTGATTCTGTAAGAATTGACGACAGAGATTTTCATTCGTTACTGCAGTAATTGACTTTGGAAAACATGAAACTGAGTACTTCGTTCAAATTGAAGGTACGGATTATAAGGCACCACTGAAAGGCAATCGTCTAAGAAAGGTACCAACCAAGGATTTCGATCTATCGATCATAACACAGACGACGAATCGATTCCGTCAGGTATCAGAAACTGATATTGATGAGGTAATTACCCGCAATGAAAATAGAAACACAGCTAAAAAAAACGTACCCGATTTTGTTGTTCTTTTTAAGACAGAAAGATCTTATTTTAAGCATGAGTTATGTTTGCACTGTATTAGCGACTAGTCACAACCATATGCCACCATCATGAACGACCTTCACCTTGGTGTACCGCTAAGTATTTTTACGTGAATGCTCGATTCTCTTCCAATTAATTCACGTACGAGTTGCTTCATCAGATCAGCCATGCAAGTCAGGGACATAATCTGGATCTCCAAAATTAGCAGCTTCAGACAAACTGTCATCAGAATCTGATAGTAACCCCATTATCCTTGCTTGCTTTTCTTTCCTTTCCGTAATTCATTCAACAAATATTGGGTGCCTTGTCAGTTTCAAGTACGACAAGTTCTGCCACAGATACCTTATCTGGCAATCTTCAATCAGTATCATCATAACAAGAACTTGATGTCTCTGGGCAGGAAGATGTGGAAACTCAAAGGCGGTGTGTAAGAAGAGAATCGGGGATAATTTGCAATATACTATACTGCATATTCATTCACTAATTGGGACAATTCAGCAGTTTTAGGATTTGGGAAAACTCGAATAGAAGCTAATGTTTGATTGTCAATTAGCATCCGATGTGCTGTCAATGGAGACGATGGTGCAGAATTACAGAATCACAGATTTCCACCTACCGGAAATTTGGCCCGGCCTTGACAATGGTGACTGGGTCATCTTCTGTGATATCAGTCCGACCATGCGTTTTAAGATGAGTAAGAGTAAATTACACACAACTAACATGTCAGACTCCACTCAGGAATGGTTGGTTCCCCACAAATGTATGGATGACACATGTGCAGTGTTTAAGTTTTCTGACATTCATGCAAAGACAAAAGTACTGAGAAACGGCAATGTGGTCATCCGCATTACACAGGCAGTTACACACTGAAGGTACAGGTTGGGTTTGGACCAGAAATGACGATAATATTATGCCACAGTGTGGAAACATTTGCAATATATCTAACAAGAATACAAGGAGGAAGATACTTACATACTACATTGGATTTTATTAACGAAAAAAGTTTTTTAGGACGTTTAGGCCCTGTACCCCAGTTAGCAGCTCATGATGGCTGCATATGACAATTAAGCAGTTTAGAAGAAATGTAAACACAAATACTAAATGATATATCCAGGTGGTACCGGCCAGAACAGCCCAAGTCAGGAGAAACATAGATTAGATTTTTCTTCAAATAACCTATGAAAACATTTTGTTTATTGATTTTCAAACAATCTTTGAGTACTTATAATTCATTTTGATTGATTCCTTAAAGATACCTTAATATCCCAAGAATGCAAATGCATGTGCTCTTCGCTGAAAAGTTTGGCTGTTTTTTTCTGGTGACTGACATCAAAGTAAAAGACATAATTCGAGAGGTCATAACTTCGCAAATACTCAAAATATCTCCAAAGGGCTGATATCTGTCATAAAGGAAGACATAAAGTTCTCTCTGTTTTTTTATGGAAAAAATAGTCTGACTTTTGTCGTTTTGTCTAGTAAACCTTCGACCTAGCCATCGTTAAATCGTAAAATATATGTCCCTCCTCTACAATCCTCACTTTGATATTGAAAGAAGATAGAAATACATCACTTTGCAGTTTAGAATTGTGTGGGAAATCCCCTCTTCTGTGATGTCATGCACATGCTGAAAGGAGGGCAAAACTAGTTCAAACTTTATGCATCCTGAATCCTGGCGTTTTTGCAATATTACAAAATCATCAGTCATGTAGTGTATGTTTATAATGATGGTATAAAGACACAACGTGTTGATTCCAGTACATATAAGTGTCAAAACGATATCCATAATTATATAATTCTCTGCCAAAATCATGAGTCACTATCACATAATAAGGACATAAGTTTCTTTGAGTGGCATTTAGAAGCTGGCGTGATGAACAACAGATGAAGAGGAGCAATTGTTTAATGGATAGACAAGATCGTTAGTACTTGCCATATAACGGTGTCAGCATCTACACCGAAACGTCGCATCCACTGCAATAAAGAACTTGTGTGTCCATAAAAAACGGTTTCTGTCCACGACATAGGTTCTGATTACACAATGCCATTCAGGACATATATTGTTAGCGACAATGTCTTTACTGGTGACAGGATATCTGGTGAAAGGATATCTCCTTGTCCCGTGTCATTATAGATGTCTGAACCTTTGGTTAATGTAGTGGATTCCTGTTACACACACTTTGTTAAAGTATAACGACCATTAAATAATCATATGTTACGATTTTGTGTCTTCGTTCTGGTATCCTTGTCAGCGATAAACTGACAGAGTCGCATCATATCAACAAGGACAAAGAAACTGAATGTGATGACGATGAAGACTATTCCAGAGTATCCAATGGCCTGTGCCGAGGGTCTGCTGTCCTGTGCTGACTCCAGCTTCCTTCTCGTGGCTGATAGCTTCGACTTGTCTAATTGCAGGATCAGTAAAATTTCGTCCATAAGACTCTGCATCTCTGTCCTATTTTTTATTCCAAAACACACCAAACACGGACAAGTCCCATCTGAAAAATAAACAACACAGTTGGTATATTAGCGACAATGGGAACAAGTTGATTATAATCACGATTTCCAATATATACTCAGAGGCAAATGCTACTGTGACATGGATTGTTTTCATTGGTAATCTTGTGGGTGAATTTTTGGATTTGAACCAGAGAAAAAAATGTATCAAACTGGTCGAAGAAACGCAACCATGCCTCTGTTATTCAAATTGCACAAAGTTTGAAAGGAGCATTCAAAGAAACGGCCAGCAATGTTCACTTTCGGTTCATTTCCACTGAATGCAGTCTCAAGAAGCACAGAAAGCAGAAAAAGCATCTATTCAGCGTACTGGAGCACGTGCGACATGCCACACCTCGGGGACAATAACAGATGGAAAGCTATAGGTATGCTCCAGTCTGGTACCTCGAATCATGACACAGCGTCCATAGAGACAACATTGGATACTTATGATGACGTTTTCAGCAAAACATCTAAGTTATCGACCGACCTGTTGTGGCCGCCGACTAGTAACGGCCCCATGTCAACATCGCTGGTGAGAACCAAGCACCTCCAACACAGCCCGTACCATACCAGGCAATAGAGGTGTATCTGCCAAAGCTGCACCAGTTGACTAGACAGCACTTGCTATAGGGAGCACGTTAGTCGAAAAGAGTTTATCTTCGACGATACGTCACATTTCCTTCTTCGCCGAGCTGACGGCAGGACACGTGTCTATAGAGGCATAGGTGGACGATCGGAAGTGTGTTCTGGAAGGGGACGACGGCAGGACAAGTGTCTATAGAGGCATATAGGTGGACGATCGGAAGTGTGTTCTGGAAGGGGACGACGGCAGGACACGTGTCTATAGAGGCATATAGGTGGACGATTGGAAGCGTGTTCTGGAAGGGGACGATTTGAACGTGGGGACGTTATGACCTGGGGAAGGACAACAGTCGCAGAAGGATGCACAAGATGGACACATTCTCTACTGACTGAGTGACCGTGGATGTGAACTCCACCATCTGATGTGGATCATCAACCAAGTTGGTCCATGTACTAACATCTGATTCGCGTTAGAAAATGTTAAATACTGATGCTGTTTGTGTGTCACAGTAACCTTTGCCGTTGAGTATAATTTGTTTTACTACTCGATTTTGGATGACAGTAGTTCACACAAATGCTCATCTGTATATGGTCATCACCGAGTTGATGTCATACACTCTGTAGAAGCCCAAGGTTTGTTACGTATATGAATCACAGAAGCGCATATTATTTAGTTCTAATTTATACTTAACGACTTCTATTTGATTATTAATATATCTACCGGATAGGTAGTTTTGTGTATAGACACTTGACTACGTTTATTACGATCGCTCTTATAACGAACTGACTGATATGACGAACAATTTTCGTTCCGGTCACTAGCTGTTAAACATAGAGAGAAGTGCGTATAACGGATGACAGTTGGACCGAACACACATTACTGGTCCATGTTACCCTTTACCGTAGTTTGCTGTCTTAAAGAAAAGGCGGTGTCGTCTCTAACATTATAGCTTACTTCCTTGTAAAGATGATGCCAACGTTCCGGCTGTTGTAGAGTTTGCCGTTCCAGTTGATGAGGTTGGTGTTGTCATGCTTTGCGTTGTTACTGTTGCCGTTGTTGGAGTATTCGTCGAGGTGCCGGGGTTAGAAGATGAAGCGGTATAGCTTGTGTTAGTGTTTGACGATGCAGACGGGATGGTTGGTGCCGTAGCTGTTGAAATATTTGACGTTGTGGATGTACTCAGTGATACTGCGGGCGTTGTACCACTTGTTACAGATGTGGTAGCTGGTGACGTGAATGCTTCTGGTGTGGCGGTTGTCGTAATTGTGACAGTAGTTGCATCTGTCGTAGCCGATGTTGTGACTGTATTTGGTATGCCAGTAGTTGCTGTAGCTGTGGTGGTTGTTGGTATCGTGTTAGTACTCGTGGAAGGTGGTGTTGTAGTGGTCGATGTGGTAATAGTATGAGTGGTTGTTGGAGTCGTAGTGGCAGGCGTTGTAGTAGCAGCTGCAGTAGTTGTTGAAGGTGTTGTAGGACCTGGTGTAGTAGCAGTAGTAGTAGTAGTAGTGGGAGTGGTAGTAGTGGGAGTAGTAGTAGTAGTAGTAGTAGTAGTGGGGGTGGTAGTAGTGGGAGTAGTAGTAGTAGTAGTAGTAGTAGTAGTAGTAGTAGGAGCTTGGGTTGTATATAAGTTGCAGTTGATTACTGGGTTGGAGTTGCCGTTGCTTACGCTTGATGAGGAGGTCACGGCCTGGACTGTTTGAAAAGAAGCAACGTACGGTAAATGGCATTGTTTTTATACATTTTATAAATCATTAGACAAAAGACATATTTTATAAAGTATTTATCTCTGACACAGGAGATAGATAATTATTATAAAAATTCCCCCGAATCAGGATTGGCGCTGTAAATGAAGACGAAAAGCAGAGATCGGGTTGCCAGAGACGTATGCTTTGTGAACGACCACGCATGCAAAAAATGTATGTGCGTATTAATCACGTTCAGTTGGTGAAAAAAATGGTGAACGTATTCTGCCCTATCACAAACACATGCAGAGGCAAATCAACCATCGCTGGTTAGCCTATATAAAGTATTCCTTGTCCATAATCACAGATGGTAAAGTGCTTTTTGTAATTGGGTGACCAACTCTTCCCCAAATATCTATACGATGTGAGGACATGGTGTTTATTGCGATAAAACAAAACACTTACAAGAATCTACATTGGTAATCTAAAATATCACTTAAACCGGTTAGTAGACAACACAATGTTTACAAGTGGCGGTTTTCAAGATTTTGAAATACTTGGGATAACTGATGACAATTGATGAAAGTACTTCTAAATGTATACTCTGAGAAACACTGGTGTTCATCTGGTCAACTGATACAATGTACCTTATCACCACTGGGCAGTAATACTTTTCTAATATCTGTTACCATTCCGAAAGTCAATAGATTGTCTCTGTCCGTTCTGCCCAAGCCTAACTAATCAAGGCCTTATACTCTAAGTTTACTGTCAGCTATTTACTGTATACTTTTAAAGTTTCAATGTTCATGAAGTAGCACTGGTCTAACAACTGAAATTATTTGGTACAACAAATATAGCCGAAATGATAACAAGGTAGTCTATTACCGTAGATAGAATAAAAAGGGAGTTCAATTTATACTTGATAATAGATACAACAGGACAATATGACAAGTGAATGAATTTCTGAATCTGGCAGCAACTGGGAAAGTGGATTGTTACAAAAAACTGATGTTACAATAAAACTTACCAAACAACACAGTTTGTTTGTATTCCCACAAACAAAGACTCTTTAAGTGTGAACCCAACCCTGATCAGACACCTATTATTGAAACCTAGTCCAACGTTTCATTTCCATCAGTGGGAATCGATATTACATCATTACAAAAGTAAGGCCACTTTGAGCGGAAGACATGATAGACTGAAACAATTCTCCCTGCCATGTATTGTGTACCAGTTCCACCATGTCCATTTGATATTCCTGATACATTATCCCTGAGTACTTCAAATGAATATAAACTGGAAATGTACAAACGAATTGCAATGGAAACAAATGAATAAAAGTAAATTATACATTGCAATACAATACCAATTCTTTTACCTTCCGACGACAGAGATTTCAATGGACTGAAAGGGCAAAATAGCCTTTAAATATATGAATGATGACTGAACCCTATGGCATGTACATAGCCTAGTGTCGAAAACAGGATATATATACGTACAAGTGAAACAAGTACGTGTCTTGGCTACTATTGTTGCTGTTCCTGCTGCAGGGTTTGAACATGTCCAGGGATCGTTGTCAAAGTACAGTGTACAGGAGTTGGGGTTAGCGAAGCTGTACATCCAACATGCACGTGTCCCGGAAAGCTCTGTGCTACACAGGGCCTCGCAGTCTGAGCCAGATGACACTGTGTGGCTGGCAGTATTGTCGTGATTTGTTCCTGAACAGGATCCGCTAAAGGCTGTATAAGTACATGGGCCTGTGGACAAATATGACAGATACGTGACATAGTACAGTTGTGCATTTATTTCACAAATGGAAGAGCCATTTGTTTTAGAGTTTGAACCTGGGTTTCCTGAATTTCAAAATGTGTTTTATTGTGCAATCTGCAAAATTGGGATTCGAACCCACAAATGTTGGGTGTCCTGACACGACGGGGACATTTATACTCTCAGAAGCATAATGAGTGAGTGAGTGAGTTTATTTTTACGCCGCACCCAGCAACATTCCAGCTATATGGCGGCGGTCTGTAAATAATCGGGTCTGGACCAGACAATCCACGGATTAACAGCATGAGCATTGATCGACGAAACTGGGATACGATGACATGTGTCAACCCAGTCAGCGAGCCTGACCATCCGATCCAGTTAGTCGCCTCTTACGACAAGCATGGGTTGCTGAAAACCAATTCTAACCCGGATCTCCACGGGTGCCAGAAACAAAACCACTACATATCCACAGTAGGTACTGACTTCCTCGTTGAAAACATCCATATAAAATCTGGCCGTAAAATATTTAGACAAGAAGTAAGCATCCTCTGGGTACCAACAGTGCTCCTCTCCCTGGGCATCTGTTTCTTGTGCAATTGAATCGGAATTTCTGCTCACGTTGGGAAAACAAAACAAAGTAATTTGACCAAGAACTTACGCTTCAGTTATATTGATGATCTGTTGTCTTACAATGTAAGTGAAATAGCCTATTCCCTTCCTGGGTACAATGTGTGGAGCCCATTTCTTGTGTCCCCCTCCGTGATATTGCTGGAATATTGCTAAAAGCGGCGTAAAATCCAACTCACTCACATTATTCCCTTCCACTGGTGCTTATATGCCACAACGTTTACGGCACAATCGAGCATGTTCGTTTTATCAAGATTTCAAAGATCGTTATGTGACTCTTGCTCTGAAGTTGTTCGATTGAGGTTACAACATTCAAGTCCTCAGAACCATTTTGAAATGTTTTTCATAAACATGTGCAGAACATTTCCAAATTTGAAGGTTCAGTGACTACATTGATGTTCAATGCAATTGTCTATTTTCCCTTGTACATTACGTTCCGTGATTACAAGCCTCTGCATGTGTTTATGACGAACAGCACCAGCGGGACAGGATGCGTTCATGGTTTTCACGTGGTATCATGATTTTCACGTGGTATCATGATTTTTCACGTGGTATCATGATTTTCACGTGGTATCATGAACATGAGTTTCACGTGGTATCATGATTTTCACGTGGTATCATGAGCATGAGTTTCACGTGGTATCATGAGTTTTACGTGGTATCATGAGTTTCATGAGTTTCACGTGGTATCATGAGTTTCACGTGGTATCATGATTTTCATTGTGATTCGTGAACACCTGCCTCTATATAGTTGATGACAAAGATTTTTGTGGATGTTGAAATGATTTTGTCGCTTTCGTTTCTTTGGTGTTTCATTGTACCAACTATCTTCCAACGTCATATTAACTATACCAGCTGCAGTAGTCGATCGGAAGTGAACCACTGCGACTAGGAAGGATACATAACGTGAAATAGTTTCTGGAAAAGGTTCGGTGGATCTCCTGTATGGAGCATTGTATGGAACAAATTGCAGGTTTCGAAGCACTGGCTGAAACAAATCTATCTTTTCAGTTAGTTTATTTTTTGGAAATGACGCCTAACGATTGTGTTATTCTTACCATTGATTACAGTAACACTAATCTGTTTTAGTGGTTGCAATGTCATGTTTGTGCCGATGTCATACATCCTACCCACCCAGCATTGTGAAACACTTGTCTTTGGTCATTACTGATTTTCAAAACGTTACGGAGGTGAATCGTTGTTGAATCAGGCTCCGGTAACACAACGATAATACGTGAGTATAATTTTGCGCCGACTGGAAACCGGAACATGCGCGAAAACACTGCTTCAATCTCCATATTACCCCACCGCCCTGTCAGCTCAAGGTATTTGTAGTGATCTGTTTACCTGTAGCCTTCTCACACAGGAACTGATAGCTACTGCTGTCGCACACTTCGTTCTTCCATTCGAAGGTGTCTTTTTCGGAGAACACACAGGGTTTGTCACTGGCTTGAGGACCCCCGCCTTCCCAGGAAGTGTAAGATGAACTGGTGACGGGTTCACAGTGGTCCCAGCGATAACCTGATGACCCTTTATTAAGTCCAATCCAGAAATGACCAGACCTAGGTAGGCAAAACAGTTCTTGCGTTTAGTTATAATTCAAACACAAATCATACAGCAATGCATTAAGAAATCTACCAGACAACTCGAACCCTACATACAGGAGCCATTGTATTTATCAGTCTGGTAATTCTCAGGGTCAAGAGAAACAATTAACATATATTCGAAAAAACCCATATACTTAACACAGGGTTAGCGACAGAAACACATGAGTCTATACCCTAGAGCCTGAAGCATCAATGTGTCATCAACTTATTTCCTTGTACTATCCAGTGTTCACAACCACCCGTTATGACCTAGATGCAAGGCGATTACAAACGCCTACAGGACTCCCGTTATGTATGTTATGTTTTGTTTGCAAACTTTTAAAAAAAGAACTCATATATATCTCTTGATGGTTTCAAAGATATATTGTAGTCAGTTGACAAAGTAGTTTGATCTGCGCTGTAATATACTGTCGAAAGTAACAAGGAAAAAAGTGTCAGTTCAATTCTTCATATTCTTATTTCGATCCCCAAACAGCAGTTCGAAGACAATCATCCGCATAAATCCATCGTATTACATATATCCTGATTCATCAAAGGTTACTTAGGTTAATGTTGTGTTCGTTCTTCAACATTCGAGGACGCGAGCTCATCACAGGTCTCTGAATTCAAAATGGCGGAGTGCGAGTTCTCGATATATTTCCTAGAATCAGTACAATGTTACATGCGCACTATAATTTGAATTTCATCGGCTGGAAACTGTATGTTGTTTTAACATTGCACGCAGCAGATCGCTGCTTGTTTTGATGATATAAAATAATATTCAGAAAAGGACTCAAACGAACCGACAGCATTGAGTTACCAACGTTCATTGTTTTCTTCAGGTAAACAACTAACATGTTTTCCTTGTGTATGTAACAGATACTTGGTAAACCTCTGCGTTTGTTTATGGCAGCGCCACCTGCGAGGCAAACACAAAGTATCATCTGTACACATGTATGGTAGAGGCCAATACATACATGCTCCTGATATAGTTGGAATCGAACAATCCACGCCGCAACGAGAAAAGGGATTTCTTATGTATTCTTATGAATATTGTAAGAGTTCTGTCATTTACACCAACCAGGCCTGCTTGTCTGCTGGGGGTCATAATGTTGACTTATCCGTAACTTCTTCGCATTTCACAAACACATGTTAACGAACAAACAGAACCGGTTTGGACACCCACTGTTGCAAAAAGGACTGCTGCAACGTGTGGTTTAAATTGCAGTCTTCTCGTGGACATAATATGATGGAAACAATATGTTCAACCAAAGAAGACCTATGATGCCAAACAAGAGACGTAATATACGGCATGACCTTTTCTGAATTGGTTTATGTTGGAGAGACAAAAAGCAGGGTATGGACATGATTCTAACATTAGAGAACATCAGCAGAAATAAATAAATATATCCAGTTGTGTCTATCTTCATTTCAGTTCTGAAAATTACTCCGTCCTTTAAGTTGAAATTAAAATATATACCATCCATCTGATATAGTCTCAAACACTGACCACCTGACAGAACCCAGAGAAGATCTCGCCACCGTAATGATGTAATGACAAAATATACGACGTCTCACTAAGGACTCTCTATGTGCCAATAAGTCTATATATTGAGTGGGATTTCGGCATCATAAGGGTGTCGAGGCAGCCAGGGTCATATACACTCTTCAAAAAAATAAAAGCATAGACCAAAAATAAGAAAATGTATTAAACGTATTTAAGTATACACAAGTCGATTAAGCCTGAACATAGATGGAGAAAATTCGACACACGGATGAACATATGTATCGTTGTCATTGTCAGCATTAATTCAGTTCACTCACTGTACATGACGTGTGGACACAAGGGGGTGGTCAAGTCGGTACCTGGTGACATCACCTCTTGGAGCCGTCACTGCTCGACGCGGCCTAGGAAGGAATTGCACAAGTCGTCGGATTTTTGCTTGGGGAATTCTTCGCCATTCCTCGCGTTGGCAAATTCTGCAAGTGTCTAAAGGTCAATGGTGACGTTTACGGACAAGTTCATCCCATAGATGCTCGATCGGGTTCAGATCAGCCGATTTGGAAGGCCAGGGGGAAGGACATTGACGTTTGCACTGACGAGATAGGCACCTGTTACACGAGCGTTGTCGTGTTGAAACAGCTCCCTCTGGCAGGTAAAACGTGGGAGGAGGTGACGTCTCGGGAGGGATTTGGTCGATGTAGCGATATTCTATAAGATTGCCTTGAACCACCACTAGCTCTGATCTACCGGTGTAGGACATGGTTCCCCACATCACGACGCCTCTCCAAGAAATCTGTCCACTTCTCGAACGCAGTTCGGCGCTAACGTTCGAAGCAGGTGTGGTCACTGTTTGTCTTCCACTTTTGGGACGATCTTGGGTCGAATTGAAGCGGGTAACTCGATGTCGAGATATGGCGCTGTGGTGGAGGTTGAAGTGTCTTGCAGACGGCAGACTGTGACTCCCCTGCTTCCAAAAGTCCAACGGCAATATTTCGATCAGTAGCATTCAATCTTGGCATTTTCTTATCTTCGTTGTCGTCGTAAATTTCGTAATGAAATGATGAATTTGCATTGGTCTTCAATAGCCGATGTCTCTATTCATGTGTCAGACACATTGCACGTGCATTTCGTGGAAAACGTTTCCTGTATGCACTTTTCACGTATCGTTTTCTTTTTTGTATGACAAACGATTACAAACACAGTCTGGGATGCGTTTGCGCGCAGTACACAACAACCAGGACATGATTAGCGGAATTCAAACATAGGAATTGTCTTAATGACGATTGCTGTCAAAATATATCGAAATGAACTGCACAAAACTCATATGCGGTTCTCTTTTTTTGACGAAGGTCAATTGATAGTTTACCATTCAATTGAAAAGGATATTGACCTCCCACCAATCCACCCATCCCAAACCCTTTCTATTTTTCGAGATGGTTAAATTTTTATGTTTAGAAAACGTTTGTAAGAAAACATACATTTTGTTGTTCCAAAGGCTCTCGCTTGAAAAAGCCTTCAAAGCATCATTGGTTTGTTGATTGTCTATCTGCGCCAGGCGTCTCCCATCGCCCTCGCAAATAGTCCTTGCTTCATTCCATGTTTTCTCATTGGTGTAGATGTAGAATGTCTTGCCCGTTAGACTGTCACTCAAAACACCTGCAATATACACAGTTCTGCGAAAATCATCTTTTGTACAAATAACCTCAAAGATAAGCAAGTCCCTTTACATATTACCGTCTTCTCTAATCAGATATTGTAATATTTTGTTCCCTGAAAGGTACTGTCCATTTTGTAAACTGAATAACGAATTTTATATCGAAGATGAATTCCATATAATGTTTGATTACACACAAAAAGTATTAGAATCTGTACTTGAAAGTGTAATCTCAAATATAACATATGTTACATATAATGTTTATCTGTAATAGTTGCATTTCACTTAGAAAAACTTATTTTAGTAAATTTACACAGAAAGATTGTCAATCTGTACAACACTTCTAAATTTGATGTCCTCAACAAAAAATAACGTCATTCATAATGTATGTCATTATCTGGAGAAAGTCCAAAAATTAAGGAAAAAGATTGCTACTACGTTTTTACTTCGCACATAGGTTAAACATTCTGTAAAGGATGTATTTTGGGCCTATGTCTGTTCCATTTTCTTCCTCAAAAGGTGACATGCTCAAGAAACATGGGAATGGCGCCTCGCTCCTTGATAGAGAACAACACGGTGAACAAAACTAGTGGTGGTCCGATTAATTGAAATAATCGAAGATTGGTCGCAATGACAAAACGACCAAGCAATCGATCATGGTTTCTCATAATCGAACACAAACAATTTTGGAATACTTGTTTGTAATAACAATATAAATTGCAAAAGGTTGATTTTGTCTCTACATTGCAAAAGCACTGCAAGCTCGTTCCAAGACTAGTCATCCTTTAAAGATGTGAAATTTCCAATTACATTTTGTGCAATTTGTGAAAAAAACGAGAGAACTACATGTTTTTTCTTTATTTTTTGTGCATTAACAAACATAACCAGGAAATTTTTATAAATGACTCTAACCAATTATTTTCGATGATTGATCGGTTGTAATGAACCAATCATCAAATAGTAGATTTACACCAATTCCCAACACTAAACAAAACAAAGCTGTACCCTCTATCGTGCCAGGATCCGTGCGAAGAGCGATCGATTACCAGATGTTCAGTTATTTCTGTTTTTTTTTACAGCAGCACATTAACACGTTCCTGAGGGTTTCACCAGAGTAAGACCTACTATTTGCATCACTTTAGGATCCCCCAATTATCAGTTGACAAGTAGAGAACCAGGAAACAAACTGTTTGCCTTTTAAGTTTCGTAAGAGTCCTGGGTGCTGTTCCACTAACCGATCTTAGCCCTATGCCAATCGTAAACCCCTAAAATCCCAATCTTAGCGTGACGTTACGATCGGCCTACCGTTCCACTAACCAATCTTACCCAAGTTAATCGTAAAGTTAAGATTAAAAGTCTAAGTTGCTCATGACCAACTTAGGATAGCTAAAATCAATCGTAGAGAAACCAAAATAGTGGCTTTCCTATTCTATGTGAAAAATAAGAGCGAGCATTTCACCGTGAGCGTCCCCTAAAATCCCCCATGAAATGAATTTGTACATTTCTGTGATGTAAACAAACACTGCACTGAAGCCTTACAAATGTCAGGCCAGTCTGACCACTGTCGTCATGGGAACACAACCGAGCGAGTCTGTGTAACACATTTGTACAACAATATTGCAACGTCATGGTTAAGAATAGGGACAGCCGTGAAGTGAACAATGTTCTGAAGCAAAAAGATACAAATATAGCCCAGCGGATAAGTGCAATTTTTTCACTGAATTGTGCACTTTGTGTTACAAGCATGAAACTTGGCATGATTGTAGCTTATACCATTCTTATTGAATAAAGATCGAGAGGCCTCGCAGATTTTTTATATTTTCCATAATTTTTGGGGAAAAGTGAAAAAATAAATAATTTGTTATACTATTTTCGTCATAACTTTTAATAAAATTCTCCAATTCTCATAAATCATATATCAAATGTAGGAAATTCATAGCTGGTCATTTTCCATCTATACATGTCTTTTTATCTTTAACGGTTAGGTCTACGGAAGTCAATTTACATCATGACTACCCGAAAATGGGAAAATTGGCGGCCATTTTTCAAAATGGCCGCCATATAGAGTACATCAGTAAAATAAGTATGAGATCATCCCATGATCTAACATATTTTTATCATTTCTTTGCAAATTCAATACGAGAAGCCTCTCAGATTGTGGCCATTTTTCATATTTGGGGGGAAAAAGTGGAAAAAAACTTGAATGTTCCCAAAAATGTTATTTTAACTCAATTTTAAATCCTCATAAATTATGTATCTAGAATATTGTGAGAACAAATGAAAGTTTATTTTAAGGAATATATCATTAGATTTACTTACATGTATAATGTATGAGCTTGGTTGGCTATAGATCACCTATAAAGCATATCAAAATCAAACCAAATCAATGTCAAAGTAGCTATCTCATCACTCTATGGAATGTTACTCAATCATGTGTAATTGTATCTAGCTTGACTGAATCAGAAATGTGCAGTGCATTTGAGAGATGCTTTAACGCACTGGGACCGGTTTGAACATTTTATACACATGCATTTCCGCAATTTCCGGCAGCTCTTTCATGCCTTCGTGAGAGTTGTCCATAGTTACTAGTATGTTGGATCAAAGTTGATTCTGTTTTGGGGAATGGTTCTGTTGGGGGAATATTGTCCAGTGTTCTCTCCTTTGTGGCAAACAAATGTTTTCTTGCTTCATTCACTTTCATGAGGTTGCTTGCACTGTCATACAGCAGTACAACAAATCTCTTAAGCTGATGAATCTGTGCATTAGGATTTCAAGTGGTGGACAAGCGAGGGAAAAAAGGTGCCTGTAAGTTCAGGAAAAGCATTCCATGTATTCCGCGAGGCCTTCTTTTCGATTCCACCAAAGGATGACATACTGTCATGGCCTGAGAAGCTGTGAAACACTGAGAACGCTTGTTGCAGCAATGGCCAACACAACCACATCTGAGTCAACAATACGGATGTAGAACTTCTTCCATGAAGACAAGATATACACACACGAGTTTGTCAGACATGAAAATCAGTCTTGCTCACCAACTATATCTCATCAAGGTTCTCTACGTCCATGCGCTAAATCAGTTCTTCTCAATTGCTTTGAAGAAAATTTCACCACCAACTGACTCAAAACCAGATGTTGACGTATCAATCCTTGATGGATCTGCAGTAATAAACATGCTAAAACCAGCAGCTCCAATAGCATTTGATGAATATGCTGATAATGTGTTCTTGAAGTACTTGCAGTCTCTTCTGGACACTAATCAGAGAGTGGATATTGTCTGGGACGAATACAAAACGGACAGCGTAAAAATCCAGTGTAAGAACAAAAAGCGGAAGTGGAAAAAGACGACGAGTGGAAGCCAGTTCCTCAGAACTGGCAAGAATTCCCGAGGTGTGATGCCAGCAAGAAATAACTTTTTGCTTTCCTTGTACAGAAAATAGCCTTGATAGAATCAAACAAGTCATCAGCCCAATTGGCGAATATGAGGTGTCCAATCAACCAAAAGACCTTTTGGAATTGGCACCCTGTAACTATGAAGAGATAAAAAGATAAAAGAAAGTTGCTTCACTGATGCTTCACATAAAGGATGGAAGAAGTTTTACAGCCGTACTGTTGACACTGATGTTGTTGTGTTGGCCATAGCTGCAACAGGCATTCTCTATGTTGAAGAAGTATGGGTGGGGTTTGGTACCGGAAAACTCTTCCGCTATATTGTAATTCATGAACTTGCATCAGGTCTGGGTCCTGAGAAAAGTAGATCCCTTCCAATGTTTCACAGCTTCACATTCTGTGACAATTTTTCCTGAACTTACGGGCACCTCTATTTCCCTCACCTGTCCACCACTTTAAATCACTAATCACTAATGCTGATTCATCAGCTTGAGAGATTTGTTGTGCTGCTGTATGACAGAGCAAGCCACCTTATGAAAGTGAATGAAGCAAGAAAGCATTTGTCCACCAGGAAGGGGAGAACTTTGGACAATATTCCCCAAACAGAATCAGCTTTGATCCAACATATAAAAAGAGCTGTAAATCAGGGGAGTTATTTTTCAGAGCAATCCCTGATGAAATCACAGGAGTTACCAAGCCCTCTGCGTAGGGTTGGCAATAACTCTAGGGGAGAGCTTGGACCTGTATGGACAACTCTTCTGTTGGCATGAAAGGGCTGCCAGGAATTGCTGAAATGCATGTGTATAAAATGTTCAAACCGGTCCAAGTGTTTAAAAGCAGCTCTGAAGTGCACTGCACATTTCTGATTCAGTCAACCTAGATACAATTACACAGGATTGAGTAACCTTCCATAGATTAATGAGATAGCTACTTTGACATTGAAATGAAATATGTTTGCGTTGATTTTGATAAGTTTTCATAGGTGATCTATAGTCAACCAAGCTCATACATTATACATGTAAGTAAATTTAATGATATATTCCTCAAAATAAACTTTCATTTGTTCTCACAATATTCTAGATACATAATTTATGGGGATTTAAAATTGAGTTAAAATAACATTTTTGGGAAAATTCCATTTTTCTCCCACTTTTTCCCCCCAAATATGAAAAATGGCCACAAACTGAGAGGCTTCTCGTATTGAATTTGCAAAGAAATGATAAAAATATGTTAGATCATGGGATGATCTCATACTTATTTTACTGATGTACTCTATATGGCGGCCATTTTGAAAAATGGCCGCCAATTTTCCCATTTTCGGGTAGTCATGATGTAAATTGACTTCCGTAGACCTAACCGTTAAAGATAAAAAGACATGTATAGATGGAAAATGACCAGCTATGAATTTCCTACATTTGATATACGACTTTTGAGAATTCTGGAGAATGTTTTTTAAAATTATGACGAAAATAGTATAAAAAATGATTTTTTTATACTTTTTCCCCCAAAATTATGGAAAATATATAAAATCTGCGAGGCCTCTCGATCTTTATTGAATTAGAATGGTATAAGCTACAATCATGCCAAATTTCATGCTTGTAACACAAAGTGCACAATTTGATCACTTATCCGCTGGGCTAATATGTTTGATTTCACTGCGGATATTTGGTGGGGGATTCTAAAGGAAGGCCGCGTATTATTCAAGACCACTGACAGATTCTACATACGTTATAGCCTCCTCACGGCTTGTTTATTCTGATTGACAAGGTTCAGGCACATATTAAAAGCTCTGACACAATTGACAGTTTTAAGTTCAGACTTAAAAACTGTTCTCAGTATATTACTTATAATCTCGGCTGTAAATACTCTCGTGTAAATTATCTGTACATAGCGCTTTGAGCATGCCCCAGGATGTGGAATAGGCGCACTATAAATCATTCTCTTCCCACAGAGGTTACTCCTGTCATATCTTCCTACGTAACCTCTGTTCTAATACGGCCCTTTCATGGTGTGAGCTTTGAAGACTCGTGATTGGAGGCAATCAGATTTAGTTGTGCAATCAGCGACGTTGTTTCAAAAGTGATCATTCGCAAGGCCTTGGTAATTTCCGTATACTTCGAGAAAACTAAACTTCTTCCCCTGCGCGATGCGCAAACGTTTATTCTAGACAGAACTCAGTCATGTGATGGCGGATCAGTGGCGTCTCGCCATCGCCCTCGTTGACAACGGACAAGCTAGCCATTAAACGTCTTGTGTGTTACATCAACACAAGGCCCCGGCAGATGGGGGATATTTGTGGCCTCACATTTGCTTGTGTTAGTCAAGTTGAATCTAAGTCGATGTAACACGTGTTCTGATTGGATAGAAAGAAGGGAGATAATTCGTGTTGCGATCTTTTGCCGCTAGGGGATTTTACCAGAACCGGGAAATATGGCCGTATTAGAAGAGAGGTTCGTAGGAAGATATGACAAGTAACCTCTGTGAGAAGAGAATGACTATAAATATGCATTTATTATTATTATATTATGCCTGATACCCAGCGTTCACACGAACTTGCACCTGAAACCAAGGTGCTCACTACCCTAATATTTTGCACTAGGTTTTTTCTCCACGTTTACACTTGGTTGGAAAAATATCCATGAAGGACCGGGTTAGAATATTGAACTTCAGTAACCCATGCTTGTCGTAAGAGGCCACTAACGGGATCGGCTGGTCAGGCTCGCTGACTTGGTTGACACATGTCATCGGTTCCCAACTGCGCAGATCGATGCTCATGTTGTTGATCACTGTATTGTCTGGTCCAGACTCGATTATTTATAGCTTAGATACATAGCGTTCACTAACATAAACGCTCATGTTAGTGAACGCTATGCATCTTAGCTAGATTATTTACAGACTGCCGCCATATAGCTGGACTATTGCTGAGTGCGGCGTAAATCTAAACTCACTCAGTTGGTTCGTAAACTACGGTACTTCCATCATTTGCTAGACTATGCAAAGGGAGATAACTCGTGCCTCTCATTCCTCTGTCTCTCGCACGAAAGAGTCTCGATCTAAGCTTGGATCGGATCGTAAGATCGGGACCGGCTACGATCGGCCTAAGATCGGTTAGTGGAACGGGTGTAACTTTTAGCTAAGACGATTGTAAAATTGGCGTTACTTGCTAAGATTGATCTTAGATAAGATCGGTTAGTGGAACGGCAGCCAGGTCAAAACACTAATTTGGCTAATCTTCAACACGGTAAGGATTTCCTAATGAAACGTCTGCTTACAGTTACCTTGTTATCTAGACACGAAGTTCCACAACAATTGGATTAAGTCCCACTGATGTTACAATGTGTTGTCTGGCAGATTATATATGAATTACCTTTGAATTTATGTGGTAATAAATAGATAATGAATAGCTATGTCTCACATAACACTCACATGAAGTAACAGCCACGAGTATCAGTGATGTCAGAATCTGAAATAAGAGAAGTGTTTGCGCTTCATATCATGATGAGTCGGATTCCAAATCGAAAAGCAGAACTTGCACCTGGATACCGATACGTACATAATCAGATTATTAAATAGTAAAACACACACACAAGCTCAATGAAACATCTAGGATTAATGTATTATCACACAAGTCAGACCAGTGGATGGAACATGTGGTAGCAACAATACTCGGAAGGGTCATATGTGTCTCTACACCCGAACATACACAACTACGTCTTTCTAGATGACTTTAATGATCTTTAAGAACTCAAACTAGTGTTGGGGCTAACACGTGTTGATGCTATCGTGTCCGCACATGGAAAGTGGAAGTAGCAGGCATTGAACCCCTCTGCTATTACATACTCTCACAGAAGTAGGGGAACCTGAACCCATAATTACTACATTTCACAAGTTAAACATAGACATGATCAGTAGCCAGAACACACGTGTATTAGCTTGCAACAATAACGTTCGTTTGTCAGTTTATTTATAAACCCCTGTGTATCGGTAGATACATATTTGTACATCTCCCTGTCTGCCGAGTAAATGGAGGTTTATCGACTTTAGCGTTTTCTCCAGGGTTTCCTTTCCAACGACATTTGCACATGTATTGTTTCTAATGGAGTGACAATATAATAAGTCTTTGTCTCTTCGACCTCGGTCACCATTTCTGTGTTGGTATATTTCGTTGCAAATGCATATATGTGATGTCTTCATGTCTATGTTTAAGGGTATTTTTTCTCGCTCTAAGATATTTACCATCTTTTCCTCGTGTCTCTTTTTGGCATCTCGAACGTTATAGCTGTATATTTAAAAAGATTCAAATAATTTTGCTTTTGGCACTGACGGGCCTGTATTACAAATCGCCAATAGTATACTCATTGAAGGCAGGCTCAAAGCAGCTAGCATATGTTACATGATTGTAAATTAGCATTGAACAATTGCGTTTAAGAACATCAAAGTTTGGGGTCATTACATGACCTTCGAGTAGCGGATGTAAATACAGAAGTTCAATGCCACAGAACAATAAGTCTTGTAACAGTAATCAGGAACATTCCGGTCGGTGCAAATTGGTAAATTGGTAAAACTTCTCTCACAAGAATCATCCATGAATAACCTACCCCGTTACCCAGTATCACTATTACTGTGCACAGACATAGACATCCAAGTTAGCAGAGAGTAATTAGTGTCAATCAAGATGTAACAAACCCTTCCCCGTGATTACTGGAATTTGTACTACAGACGTTAGAATTCAAATTACATGAACTTTCCAACGTTTTCCGCCACGAGTTGTTTCTTACCATAATCTCTATGGATGTTTACATGCCAATTGCGGTATTGGTTTCTGAAGGTGTGAAAATACCATTGTTAGTTACATTACATTCCTTTGTTGTTTGAAGTTTCACACATAGACCTTTGCGAACTGATTCCAGGTTAGCTATTTAGTTTCAACTTGGGAATCAACACGCTATACAGACCATTCGAGTGTGGCGCCACGCGGTGACCCATGCTGACATGTTTTAACTAATAACATAGTTCTTCAACAGACCCAACTATAATTAATGAAGGAGCGTTGAACATGAAAGCAATATGGATAATATGTTATAGTACAAGAAGGCGGTGCTATTTTTCTGACGGCCTTGACAATGTTGCAAAATGGAACTATGGTTTCTTGGAGCCATTGGCTTGACAAACATGCTGTGGAATTTACATATTATGTTTATATTGTGAGCATTCTTGAGGAAAAAGGGTACCACGCTTAGTACTTATGGACAGACAACGGACTAAACAGACAACGGAGCTCACTCTTACATCATCATGGTGAGATATATTTAGAGACTGTTTTAGAGGCTTCCACCGTGTTCTGACCCAGAACGTATTATAGAATGATCTGGAAAGAGGAGTTAGCTATTGCCTCTCATCTCAAATTACATTTCACACCACAAGAAGACGAACATTGTGTGTGATGATCATAAACCCTGGCCAGGCCTATACATGTTTCACGTTACTGCTACATATCTGAAAACATGTTTGAGTTATAGAAGGCAAAAAATGCTGAGGACCAATTCTAACCTGGACCTAAACGGGTCCAAGATAATGTTTGAAAACAATATGTTTCAAACTTTTGTAAAGTTATTATCTACCACAAATTATACTGTTATTAGGTCTGCTGCTACTGAATACATTCTTTAGTTTCCAAACAAGTCCCTAAATCGTCGGTGCCTACTTCGAATCAAGTTTCCACACAAAATCATGAAATGATAGGTTCCAGTTCAAGAACCAAACACAAAAGCTATATACATGTATATACAATATATATGTTTACAATGCATAATGTTCTAAACAAATCGGGGCGGTGGGGTAGCCTAATGGTTAAAGCGTTGGCTCGTCCCGCTGAAGATCCCGGTTCGAATCCCCACATGGGCACAATGTGTGAAGCCCATTTCTGGTGTCCCCCGCCGTGGTGTTGCTGGAATATTGCTAAAAGCGGCGTAAAACCAAACTCGGTCAGTCAGTCAGTCTTAACAAATCGTATCGTCAAAGTTATGTTACCTTGTTTTTGTTGTAGAGAAGCCTCGCCATGGTGTTCCAAGGGTCCATGTACCTGACAAGCTCCATCGGCTGAAGAAATAAATGTTATAACTTCAGGAGGAACAAACACCAAGCGTGCAGTCTATAGCAGAGATCATATGGCACTATACATTTTGTATACATACAGTACTTGCATCCGAGCGAACAGATCAACCACGATCGATATAGTGATGCCTTCAGGGAATTATCCTATAATTTAGGCTTCACGTCAATGTGTAACTGAGGACGATACGAACAAGGAGCAACAAGCAACTGAAACAGTACCTATTTATGATCTTGTTCTATTTGGTCAGCTCACAGATATCTGTATTGGATCCATGTATAGATCGCACATATCATCCTACACAATCAATAACTGCTTTAGTCGGACGGGAAATTTACAAGTGTAATCATCGAATCAATCTTGGTTTTGTAGTACAAATTATAAAGGGCATTTGTTCTTTTTGTGCTTAAATCCATATTGGTTGTTCTATTAGAGAACGAGTTATGTATGTTACGTTTCGGTGAATGTCAATTAGAAATTATAGACACAAGTTTGAGTTGGAAGTTAAATACACATATTCCTCTATATTTAGGTGAGGTGAGGTGACATGGGGTTTAACGCTTATGAATATTTCACTCATTCGACGACGTGCATGCGTGGGCATTAGTGGTGGTCCGATTAATTGAAATAATTGAAGATTGGTCGCAATGACATAACGACCAAGCAATCGATCATGTTTTCTCATAATCGAACACAAACAATTTTGGAGCACTTGTTTGCAATAACAATATAAATTTGAAAAGGTTGATTTTGTCTCTACATTGCATAAACACTACAAGCTCGTTCCAAGTCATGAATAAAGTTATCTTAACAACTCCAGGAAATGTATGTTCCTAACACACTAGTCATCCTTTAAAGATGTGAAATTTGCAATTACATTTTGTGCAGTTTGTGAAAAAAACGAGAGAACTACATGTTTTTTCTTTATTTTTTGTGCATTAACAAACATAAACAGGAAAATTTTATAAATGACGCTAACCAATTATTTTCGATGATTGATCGGTTGTAATGAACCAATCATCAAATATGAGATTTACACCAATTCCCAACACTAGCGTGCATGTGTGGCTGCTTGTACTGGCCCAGACTTAAGCTGGTTTTATAGTGCTAGCTCACTGAGATATCATGAATACCCCACTCAGACACACTATACTGACCCCGAGCCGACCAGTCCTTGTACTCATTAATACAGAGCGCCAGGCAGGGACCAACAAGTACCATATTTTAACGTCTTTTTGTATGACGCGGCCGGGGCTCGACCCCGCGACCTTCCGCTCTCATGTTGACCCTGTTCGTCGCCTCTTACGACAAGCATGGTTAAATGAAGACCAATTCTAATCCAGATCTTCACAGGTCTCTCGGAGACAAAGTATTACAGAACAGTATCCGCCATCTGTTAATTTATATTTATACCAGGAACATGCATGTTTGGCCATACAGTGATTTCACGTGGTGACAAACACGTGGAAGTGTCCGTTTACATATTTCAGCTATAAACGATGTTCACTGAGACAGAGAAGGTTATACCATGCTATAACATCAACATGGACATAGAGCAAAATATGTTCCTCGCAGTAACATACACAAACATACTTCCTTGCCTGTCACATGTAGAACGTTGTATTCCAGACCGAGACAAGCTTAAAAGGACACCCATTCTTTAATATTCAAGAAATCTCGTACTTTGTTGCTTTAGCTGAAAACCCAAAGTGAACTTTAACCCTAACCCTAACCTTAATCCTAACCCTAACCCATCCTAACCCTAACCCTACACCCTACACCCAACCCTAATCCTAACAATAACCCTAAACCCAACCCAACCCAGCCCCTAACCCTCTGCACAAGCACACTGTTGGTCAAATTGTCAATACTGTAGCATGACAAAACCCGTCAAGGACTATGTTCATATACTCAAATATCCATAGCAACGCAGACTATACATCACACACTGTTCGTCATCACTTCTGAAGAAATATCATGTCAAAGTAAAAACGTCATTTGACATTTAATATATCCTTTGTTGCCTGAACCTTGTTGGGAGACACAACAGAAGTCGTTTACACCTGACAGTCACCACAGAAAGGTGTCCAACTGTTCTTAAAACAGTACATCCGTTATGGGTGTAAGGAGGGTGAGTGAGTTGGTGTAAATCTGATGAGTCAATAGTTTAGTGATAGTAGGCACATACATATGAAATCCTGACGGGACATTGTCACCAAAGTGTGCCAAGGCGACAATGCGACATGCATATGAAATCCTGGCGGGACATTGTCACCAAAGTGTGGCAAGGCGACAATGCGACATACATATGAAATCCTGGCGGGACATTGTCACCAAAGTGTGGCAAGGCGACAATGCGACATACATATGAAATCCTGGCGGGACATTGTCACCAAAGTGTGGCAAGGCGACAATGCGACATACATATGAAATCCTGGCGGGACATTGTCACCAAAGTGTGGCAAGGCGACAATGCGACATACATATGAAATCCTGGCGGGACATTGTCACCAAAGTGTGGCAAGGCGACAATGCGACATTTCTGTCATTTGTAGTTTTGTCCCGCTATTTTATATCATTTTATTCGACAAAAGACAACAATATGATAACCTAACGAATTCACAAGGTCAACATATGACGCACAGTCGCCCCAACTAAATGTCTTAAGTGAGTGAAAATGACGTTAAACTGGGTGACATTGTTTATTTAATCGTGTGCATGTGTAGTGAGTCAGTACATCTGCTCATACCCAGAAATAACTAAGCTGATTTTCAATCTCCAATTGTATTTTGTTGGATCCAATGATTGTTAAACCAAAGTGGCAATGGAAATGGGGGCTGCTTTTAATAAAGTACCAAAACATGGCACCTCTACTTGGCATGGAGCATCAATCTGCTTAGTCAGACCACATCCAGTAATTCGATGTTTATGGCCAATTCCATAGGGCACTACGTGATGTTTCGTGGCTACACGTGCTAATTATTGTTACTTAGTCACATTACCTGCCATCAGCAACCCTACGTTCAAGGTTAAGGTCAGACAGTGACAAGATGTTAACATTACCGATTTAACCTTGGTGTATATTTTGTACTTTTTATGGTTTGTTTTATGTCAAGATGGGTTTTAATAAATCCTCCCAATGTGATGTAGTTGGTATACTTTGGCAAGCGTACAGTTTATGTGATACAAGAGACGATACTACCGATGGTTGGTAAGATAAAAAAAATAGCGACTGTTAAATTTCCGGCCGAAATTCCCTGCACGTTTCTCTTAATAAATTATTACAGGTACTGACAGAATCGAGTCTAGAATCTAACAGATTACGCTTCATTACACTTGTATAATTTGGATTCATAAATAGTAACTCGCTGGGAAGGAAGTTCATGAACGTAATAGTAATTTGACCCCACGCGAGATCTCGCTCATTCAAATATGTCCCTCATTATTCTGGAGGAACAAACACAGAGCTTTTCTTTGAAACCTTTTTTTCAAATATTATGCCAGATACTATCTTTATAGATATACATACAACAAAACCACGATCTCTCGTTCATTAGATCTCCGAGTTGATACACCGTGTGTTGCAATAACACGGCACAGCACTCCCCAACGATCGTCACGTAATTCAAAGGGAGAAAGCAAACTTATTCTCGATTAAGGATGTTGTCTTACGTAAAGCTATGACAAAGTACAACATACTTTGACTTCACCTCACGGCAGTAGCAGATTGCCAATTGTTTGAAATGTGTATTTTCCATCAAGAGCGTCCTGATTTGTCCACAATGTATTCTTCAGCCAATGTGCCGGGATGACACAAGGAGCGCGGATAAACACCCTTCTACACAGCAGAACAATACCATGTCCGCTTGGTGCCATTAGATAGTACACGGCTGGATGTGCATAGTGCTTCTACATGGCGATAAGCCTCTTAACGACACATCAGAAAGTCAATAAGGTCATATTGTTTGAAAGGAATGATCACGTGTTGCCGTTTGACATTACTTTAGCAATATCACAGCGTGACATTTTAATCGAACAGGGCGGATATGCGTAACACTGCTACAACAAATCATTATTGGAACCAACGTTCATCGGATCCTGCCGTGCGCAAGGGAGGCAACTCTGCAATTGCAATAACGACCATTTGGTTATGCATGTCCATCGGCGAAGGAGATATGACCGACAATCCATTTAATTGTCACCATGACATTTTAGATATTTATGTCCAAATATCTGTCAAAGGCTAATCTCATTGCTGAAATATTTCATTGATAATCCGTTCAAATACAATCCCTTTGTTGATGATTGTGTACCCACGCTGTGTAGATCGATAGTCCGGTACGTGTGTGACCCTGTTCACTTCACTCATGGAACACTTATGCTCCAAGTACAGAATAAATGATTCCGGTTAGACAGCATTGTTAATAAAGAAGAAGGATATATTCAATAGCTAACGATCTTGAAGGATTAAGAAACAGATCCAGATATTATGCCCCTACAGATTGCATACTATATACAGCATTGAAGTTGTGGGCGCTGGCATTCTGTACAACATCAGGCTCCCTCTATGTTACTCAAAACTTGAGAAGGATTTGATAGGTAGCTGGTCCACGTAGGTGTAACAATACAAAGACGGAGACAGTGATGTGTGGAACATGCGTTATAAGCTTAAGCATAACTCAAAAAAAGATTTATGTAAACATACAAACAAAGACCTCTTTAGGTTTGGAGCTTTGTTTAAACTCAATCCGGTCTTCACCGCAGTTCCAATGAGCCAATGGGTAGATTTTAGACTGTTTAGAAAACCAGATGGAATTTGAATATCTATGGTTCTTCTTTGGAGCGCCAAGTTGTGTTCCGGTTTTTTCTTACCTCTGTGTTACAGTTTTTCAACATATGGCTCTCTGTCAGGATCAGTGTATGTTTCTACATGGACACAGAAAGGATCTGTAGAAAGGATATATGAGTGTGGGAGTATGTCACCACCGGGTAACGTTATCTCTGCTCTGCAATTCCTTGGTACAGACTGAATTTGTTTACGGACGCTTGTCTGGAGTTCTCCTCTAGTTTTGCCAAGGCCAGTGTAGGTATATGTTGACATCCCCCCACATATGTTCTACCCGGTATAGATCCGAAGATCTGAAAGGCTATGGCAAGGCGTTGACGTTTAAATTATGAAGGATGTCAGCAGTGGCACCACCTGTGTGTGGTGTAGCGTTGTCGTGTTGAGAAAACCACCTCTGACTGTCGATCATAGGAAGAAGAGGACGCTGAAGAACTTTGGTCGATGTCAGATTCCCCTGAACCAACACCAAGTCAGATGTCCGAGTGTAGGAGATGGCTGCCCACACCATCACACTAACTCCATCGCCTGTGTCGACTTGTCGAAAGCGGCTTTGTGCAAAATGAATGTGTTGTAAATATGAATTAATTTTTCTTTCTCAAATACAGGGACATCATGTCTAACATGATATGATACCTGCATAAACATGGAAGCATGTTCGAAACCTACACGTGAACAGTAGAGATTGGCCACCGGAACAGATTCATTTGAGATTAGTAGGCAACATAGTGGCGAACATCGCTTGTAAGAATCACCAGGGGCGGATACAGCTTTTGAGAAAGGGGAGGATGTGTGTGTGCACACTATTGAGAAAAGGAGGGGTGCACACTTCATTTTTACCCGAGTTTCAATGGTCATTTAACAAACTTTCAGCACAAAAGACGCCAGTCGCACGCAAAAAAGGGAATCATATTTTGCCTTATCACTCGCGACTCACTCAAGGTACATAACAGTGTATGGGTTCGTCTCCTGGTGCCACGCAGCACTCCTCCAGACGTACGAAAGCGGAATGAAAACAAACCACATATTCAGGCAATGGACCAGAACTCAATGGATCAGTTCTTACGATAAAGCAAGAGGTGTTCAGTCTATCAGCTCTCACATCGACCCGTTACAAGTATATACAAAGCATAAACGCCAGGGAATAACTAGCATCTATTATCCTACGGAACAGACGCAGTTATGCGTGAAAGGCAAACTAGCAGGAACACTAAATGATCGGATGACTATAATGTCCCCGACAAAGGAATGAACATGTCATGTCTTATACTAATAACCAAAACATTAATAAGTAACGATTGCACCAACATATTTATAAAGTACCTTGTACGACACAACGGTGTGTACAATCCCGTCATTACGAGACTGTCAGTAATACACGACCCTTCACCAATGCTTTGTCGTTTACTCAATACGCCTTTCCAACAGCATTCATGAGTAAAGAAAGTACAAAGGAGCTCCAGTTTAACAAAGGATTTTTCAGAATTTTTGATTTTGTCGAAGAAGCAGACGGTTAAGCGCACACGACAGAAGCAGGGACATTGCATGGTTACAGGATGGCGAATCCATAAGAAGTGTTGCTCGCCGTCTTCATGTGTCTCCCTCTGTCATTCACAGGCTGAGGGACAGGTTCCAGGCCACTGGTTGAGTACAGGACAGACGTCGCTCTGGAAGACCCAGAAAAACATCAACGGCAGATGACCGATATGTTCTGCTCCAAGCCCTTCGGAACCGATTCACAACTGCCAATTCTCAGTTTCCACAGGCTGCATGGGAAGTCTGTCTTCCACATGCACCAGCCTGTTTTGTTTGGGTGTTTGAATCAAACACGGTGCTGATGTGTTTCCCCGCTCTTGTTTTTCGTTGTTTTTGACAATGTTTCATTTCAATCAAATCAACGAATATTGAATCAGTTGTTCCACTGCAAATTCTAACATATCGCTTAAAGTACCCATTAAGCACACAAAAAGTCACATCTACCTTAGAGTGTAAATGGCCTCACCGCGTTTAAGTTTATATATGACTATCAAATTTTAGGGTGTTCCCATACTTGTTGTTTGTAGTATAAATATGGTTCTAATACCTTATTTCGACTACAACCACAGACACACGTGTTCGGTTCAAGTGATCACACGATGCCAAGCGCTTGGGAGCACGTTGTGGTTGGAGTCAAAATGGATGTTGACGAATATCTCCGTGGAAAGTGTATTTTCGCTTATGTTTACACAGATCATGACTTGTCCGGGTTAGAATTGGTCTTCAGTAACCCATGCTTGTCGTAAGAGGCGACTAACGGCGACTATAGTTTGTTCTATATTGTACTTCCCAACTTCTAAAAATGCAACTCAAAGAAGATCATGACTTGTGTATTATTTAATCATATTTATTGAAAATATATGAGAAGATGTTAAATATTTTTAAAAATATGTAATAAACTGGCATATGATAATGGAATGTAAAAGAATTGCTGACCATTGGCTCAACTGCCGACGTCTGCACGTCCAGCACATGTATGGCCTTATGGTGGATTTTATTAGGGGTGGATTTTGTCAGGGGTGGATTTTGTCCTAGGTTGCAGTTTTGGGGTGGATTTTGTCCGGGTGGATTTTGTCCTGGATTCCACATGTATACAATATTAAGACCTGGTTATTGCACGTTAGTATGGATGCTATTTACAGCTCCACGAGGATGGGTGTTGTC